GTTCCCACCACCTGCCCCGGCGCTCACCAGCACTTGCTTGCCCAGCTGCGTGAGCACCAGGATGCCTGTGTCCACCATCTTCTTGCAGCGCGTGGACCAGTCCTGGAAGGGCAGGCGCTGGCAGCCCTTCTCCAGGAAGGCCCGGAGCTTGTCCTAGGAGGCGAGGCGAGAGGGTGGGCTCGAGGCCGGGTGCCACCACGACCACCATGTGCAGCCCCAGGGCCAGCACCCACCTCAGTGCAGTTGTCCTGCAGGATTTTCCCCACCACGGAGACCACCACCTGGCACAGGTGGCACGGGACACCCTTCTGCGGGGAGAGCGGGACATGTGGGGCACGAGTACACCCCCGCCATCCCCTCAGCAGCACATGATGCTGGGGACATGTCACCCCCCTGCCCCGCGGGCACCCCGCTGTTTACCACCAGAGCTGGGTCCCCCGGCCAGCACTGCTCCAGCACTCCGCACCTCGTCGCTGTGTGCGCATCCCGGCACCAATCCTGCGGCCTCTCGCCACATGCCGGCCTTCCGGACGCTGCGGGCAGAGCACACCAGGTCACACAGAGCCCGCATCTACCCTGCTAGGTTGATTTATTTTTAATTTTAAAAAACAGGAAGAAAATAATAATAATAATAAAAGTCGCCCCTTCCCAGTAGAAATCCCTGCGCCACCGGAGCCGGGCGGCTTGCGACACGCGCGGGCTGTGGGCGCAAGACTCGGCCCCGTACACCAACCCTCTGAGTCACCCGGTGCTTGAGCAACGCCCTTCTCCCGCCGCAGCGGGTGCCGCACGGTGGCCCTGGCCTCGTCCCATTGCCACCATCGTTGTCCTGTTTGGGGATCATCTTTCCAGTAGCCGGATGGGGTTTCATTTCTAGCAAGGCTGATGCGCACCCACCCCATGCCTTGACCCGGCCTCGCCACCGCTCTTAATGATGCTCTTCCTACGTGCGGTGCCAGATCGTGCTGAGTGCGGCGGCCCACGCGCCCCGGCATCTGTGGCCCTGCTCCAGCGAGCGGGGCCAGCTCGGTGCCCGCAGCAGGGCCGTGAGTCACGACGGCGTCCCATGGCGCAGCGTCCCACACGCCCTGCCGTCAGCCCCGCTCGCCATGGGACTGGGGCCGTGGCACCGGCATCAGGACGAACTGGAATAGCGAGCGGCAGCATCCAGGGAGGGAAAACCCGGAGGCAGGGAAGGGCGTTTCACCCGGCTCAACCCTGCTCGGCGGCACTGGGGCTCAGCGCTTGGCATCTCGCTTTGCTCGTGGCGAGGAGAGCAAAGGGAGCAGCAGGAGCGCCCGGCCGGGCGGGCGGCTCCCGCCCTGCCGCCTGCCTTGTGCAAGCCCGCGTTGCCCCATCCGCTCGGTTTCGAGGTGGCCAAAGCAGCTCCGCGCCGAGAAAAAATTGCAGCAAGTTTTTTAAAAAAACGCAGCTGTCACATGAGCGGTTTGTGCTGAGATGCCCCAAAACCTGCGCGGGCAAATGAAGGTTTCCTGCAGGGTGCAGTTCTCTCCTAGGCATCTCTATCACCAGCTGCTCACTGCAAGCTTTGCTCCTCGCTGGGTTGCTCAATGACCGCATCTGGTGGCCAGCACCCATTCTTGCTTTACCTATGCTTTTTTATGCTGTGAAGTGCATTTTCCCGGTGCCTTTTAAGAGATTCAGCTACAGCTGGGTGTGCTACTGCCTAGATCTGATGCAGGAGAGCACATCCTGGGTCAAAGCCTGCCCAGACACATCCTACACGCTGCCCTGCAGAGACACGTGAACAGGGACACCCCTGCGCTTGAGGGGCCAGCTGGCCCGCGGGACGGACGTGCCAAGCGTGGGCCAACGTTCCTGATCTTCCTGTTGCTGGCTGGGCCCTTCTACCTCCCTCTTCCTCTCCAGGGAACACGCCCTCGCTCACGACTCTTCTACCACCAAACCAGCAGCACTAGGGCCATGGGATGCAAAGGGCCTTTTACCATTTAAAGGGTGTTTGAGAGAGCTTCTTTCTCCTTATTTCCCCCTCGACTGTGAGGCTGCATGGATTCTCCCCAGGGAGAACCACCCCATTATTTCCTGGGGCCTGAACCAGGCTCCTCTCAAGCCACTTCCCATGGAGGGGATGAGGATAAGCCCGGGTTTAGCTTCGCTGCACTGATGGGAAGAGATACGGAGGGGCGGTGAGGCACAAGCAGTCGTCAGACAGGATTTGCTGTTAAACTCTCCCTTCCCAGTGCTGAGGAACCCAGGCACAAGGCCTGTTCGTCCCCCTCTAAAGGAGCTGACAGGGCAGCTTTAGCTTCCTCCCTTGCACAGGGATGAGCAGGATTTCTCCCTGCTCCCCTGTATACGGCTAGGTCCCTGTACAGGGGGGAAGCAGACACATCAACCCTCTTACACCGCAGTACTGAGATGCCCCATAAGTTTCTTCCCGCTTCCCTCTCCCATCCCCTACAGAAAGTCATTGCTGGCCCAAACACTTGCTCTCCAGTGACAGAAGGAAGCAAAACAGCATTTACCCTCAGGATTACCTTTAAGGGCAGAAAGTGCAACGCTCCCTTCCAGCTGGACAACCTCTAACGCACAAGCCTTGCCTAACTTTCCTCTGGCCCAACTTTCAAAATCCTGAGGGGGCAAGAAAGCAATGCTACTCCATTTAAGCATTTCTGACCTTTCAAGAGGCAATGGATCCATCTAAGAAGAATTTCTAATGTCTTGGAGGGTTTGGAGCAGTTTCTTGCACTCTCCTACCCCCACGCCTGACCTTACCTTGGTCAGCCCCCAAGCAGAGAGCAAGGATCAAGACCAAGCCCCTCCATTTGCTCTCCATGCTGTTCCTCCGCTAGTCCTCAGCAACTGGCTCCGCTCCGGCGCTTCTCCCAGACTGAGGAATTGCAGAGCAGCCGGGAGGAGCAGTGGGAGCGGACTCCCACGCGCAGCGCTCACCACACCCCTCTCCTGAGGCCCTGATTATGAGTCGCACCAAGCGAGCACAGGGAGGGAGCCCAACAGGTGCTGCCAGGGCAGCCCAAAGAGCCGCCTCCGCCTCAGGAGGCTCCCCCAGCCCAGCAGGCCCAAGTGAGTTCCCTGCATGAAGCCAACATCCAGGCACCACCATGCACCCCATCTCCTTCATTTTCAGGAGCAAGGGCAGTGCAGAGCAGTTTGGTTTAGAGCACACACTCTGCTGTCACATTCAGGGAGGGCCTGGGCCCTTGCTTGGAAGCGCAAAGAAGGGTATCCCAGAGCCACCGCAAAGCCAAGCTCCGCAAAAACGCAAAGTCAGCAGCGAGGCCTCTCAGCGGGAACGCCCTGGGGCAGGCACGGGGCCCTTGCAACACGCAGCGCTTGCATCACCTCAGCCATCGCTCACATCCAGCCCCGCTCCCTTCCCCGCGGAACCTCCGGCGTGGGAGCCGTGGGAGCAACTGGAGTGGATAGGGAGCCCCACTGTTCCGCTCCCTGCGGAAAGCGGCAGCAGCGAAACGTGCCCTCTTCTGGCTCTGCAGCACAGAGCAGCCAAGCGGCTCCTCCAGCAGCCAGCGCACACCAAGGACATGAAGCACTCACTGGTTTACAGAAATTTATTGTTCATTAAAGAAGCCTTTGTGCAAAAAAAAATCAAGACAATGTTCTGTTATAAAGCAACCACATACTCCCCCCAGCACACATTACTCAAGCAGGTCAGGTGCAACATTCCACAGGAAGTGAGAAAACTTGATAAGGAGATTCCCCAGCATCGACATAAGGCTTCCCTAGCTCCTCCTGCCCTAAAGGCTGCTCAAGGATGCTCAATGCTAAAACCCAAGAAAAAAAAAATCTAAGCTTCACCAACCTGCAAGAGCAAGGGTCAATTCATCCCACAAACCCACATTGAGGAAAGCCAGTCCACTGAGGGGACTGAAGAGTATATGACATGATGTGACACAGCAGTGTTGCCCTAGTACAGGCTAAAGAGCCCATTGCCTATCCAAAATATAATATGCACTGGAATATTCTGCACAACTGCAGAATACTGCACAAACCTGCCCAGACAGAAAGCTTCAGCTCCCAAGTCTTAGGGGACTTTTTGTTTTTCCCCAAAGCAATGAGCCCTTTAGAGTCCTGTACAAATACAATCAGAAACGACAAATCAGTTTTGATATCTGGCAATGCTGCCCAGGCAATTAGTATGTACAAATAACAAAAAAGCTGCAGCTGAGTGGTTTTCAGTTAAACTCCATGAAGATTAGTTTGCTTGTTCCTAAAGCACTATTCCTAGAGCTCCCAGCCTCCCCCAAGACACCACAAAAGCAGTTGCTGGCACCTTTCCCAATGGGGCTGGAATTGTCAAAGCTCCACCTCCGCCCAGGGTCCTTTCCCGAGGTCTTTCCAGAGTTGCTTCAGGACGTGCATTTTGGGGGTTAACTTGTCCAGAATCACACGCTTCCTGGTGCACCGGGGACTAAACCACTGTGGGGAGCCACAGAAAACACGATGCCTGCTGCCCTCCCCAACCTCAGGGGCTTGTTCCACACTCAGCAGCACACAGGCATGATAATGTCCTCGGGCACAAGTCCCCCGAGACAGCCTCTTGCCAGACTCCTGCAAAACCTTGGATTTCCTGGGCATTTCTCCACTGCTTCAACAGACAGGTCTGTACAGCAAGTGGGGAGGGCCACAACTCCAAGGTGTTAGAGAATCTGTGCCTCAGGTACCAGCAATTAGGGCCATTTGGGTGGGTTGCTTTCTACTGCACAAGCACCAAGGTTGGCTTGTCCAGTGTGCCAGTAACACCAGCGCATGAGCAAGCTGAGGCTGCTGACAGCAACTTAGGTGCATTCCCGTTACTGCTTGGAAACTCTGGAAAGAGATGCCCTCGGAGCTGTTCACAAGGAAGAGTGCCAGTTTGGATGGCAAAGTTGCTGGGCACACACACAGTCCCCTCCTTCATTTGTGAAGCTTTGAGAATTCCAGCCAGAGGGAGGCAGGGATTCAACACTACCTCTTGGGGTTCCCTTACAATTAACAGAAAATGAATATTCCAGGCAGATGTTAAAAATGGAAAGCTTGTAATCTTCCAGCCACAGAAAGACACTTGAAAGTTTATCACTGTCTTGTTCTTTTCTTTTTCATTAAAAGATAATACCCTCATCTCATTTCACCTTCTCTGCGCCTAAAAACACTTCAGTCTACCAATTAAAATCTACAACACTGACTATTTTTAGGAGCATAATGAGTTAAACTGTACAACCAGAAATATCTTTAGATGAACAACGAAGATCTGATCCTTCAACAGCAGCACTGCTACAGAAAAGTTACAATAAAGGAACTTGAAGGTCAAATTGTTAGCGAGGCCGGAGGGGCACTTGCAGGGCAGCTCTCCAGCAGCCTCAGCCCGTGTTTGCAGGCGTCACGGCGACTTTCAGAACTGGAAATGCTTCTTTTAGTTCCACACGTGACGTTTGCAGTGATCGACAGCCTAAAGGGAGAGAGCAGAGCATGACTGAGGGGGAAAAAAGCCTGTGTTTGCAAAGAGTACACTTATTCAACACCTCATTCTGAGCCAAGATTTTTGTGATCAAGTCTTTTTTTCGTTAAACAAACATCTCAAGAGAAAGCTATAGTGAATAATTTCTCTGTTCCCGGACAGGGACAGAACACTGATGACCCTTAACCACTAAGGGCTGCACTTTGGCAAAGAAAGCATCAGCCAACAGCAATACCTGGAGCCCATTTTTAAGAGCCCTGGCATATTCCATCAGTTGCTGCTGAACAAGAACACCCAGCTCATTTTGCTCATTTGTTAAAGACTCTGAAATGCTGACAGAGGGCAGGGAACAGGAGCAGGAGCCACAGGAAGAAAGCAGCTTTCTTGCTCCAAGAAAGCTGAAGTCAAACTTGAGGATTACCTCTAGCTCGTATCCACACTTTTGGAGGGGAATGTATCCATTTTAAGAGGAACAGAAGTTTTAAGAGAGTCAGAGGTGGCACCAAAGGAATTTAAAGGGAATCCTCCTTTACTTACATTGCACTGAGCAGCAGTCTCCATGTTCTTACACCAGTAACCCGGACCCCAGACACAAGCATCATCCCCCAGCAGAGGCTGTTTAGCTGTTGCACAGACTCCAAGTTTCTGCAAAGGGAACAGCAAAGTCAGTATCTTCAGTTGCACCCCTCAATTCCCAACTTACACCTGGCAGTCACTTCCCAAGCCTGGGAATATAAGGGCAATGCCACAGTATTCTCAGGAGCTCAGCTGCCCAATCATTGCAACCAAACAAGCAGATTTCAAACAGTTAAGATGGGATAAAAAGCTCCCTTTTCATGCTTTTGCATATTATGTTTTGAAAAATGGACAGTTTCTGGAAGGGACCTATTTCCATGGGTGTCATTTTAACTTCTCATCGAGTTCAGGGCATGCTCTACCTTGCCACTGAACTTCAATAGCTGCTAACCTTAACAGCTCTTGTCCTCCATATCCTTGCATGCATGAAGCATGCATGCATGAAGCTGCCCATTCCTCACATCCCAAGGCCTTGCACACCTGACTCTGCCCCCAGCTGATTTTTATTCTGGCAGAACCTGCATGCTGGGCAATGGAAGAGGCAGAATCAGAGCCTAGGGTGACCCCGCATGATACTCACAGTGCAGACGAAAGTGGGATCCATCATCTGTGCCAGGAGTTGCACCACCACGGGCTCGTATTGCTCCACGAACTGAACGCACTGCAACAAAGCACAGGTTGAGACACCCCTCTGCTGAGGCTGACCAGACCGAGGCAGGACACAGCCTCGTGCCACCAGGCACACGCACTATTCTTAAAACACCTGAAGGAGGCTTGAGCTCTGCAGGTTGAGGACTCGGCACTGCGCTAACCAGGCCAAGAGCACTTAGCTCTGAATGTCTGATGTGACATTCAAGAGGGGCAGAGGAACCAGCAGGACAGGTTTCAACTGAAGTCTTGTCCTGGATGCTCTGCCATCCACCACCACCACATCTCAACTAAAAGCACACAAATTGCAGACAAATATCCTGAAGAAAACAGCAAAACGCTAATGCCTCTTCAGTTTTAGCACCATTGCTGTTGCTTCAGGCCAAGCAGCAGCATCTCCACCCAGCAATAACCACCAGCCCTCCAGCAGAGAGGAGCAACCAAGTGCAGAAAGTTGTCAGCTTTCTCAGCAGAGACTAATGGCACTGATTAATAAACGAGCCACAACTATAAACCACCTCACAGCAGTCAGCAGGGATAGCTGCTTCATAGCCACTTAATAGCTGTATATTTTATGCCTACTAAACTTAAGGAGTTGCCTCTTGCTGGTACTCAGCAGCCACCTAAGACTTCCGTGTAATTTTTGATGATAATGGCCTAGCAGGTATTGCCTTTTGCTATCTCCCTGGAATTATGCCAGCCTGCTTCCAATTACTTGGTTAATCCCCCGAACAAGATCAGCATTAAGAAAAAAAAACCCTTTAGCAGTTCCCACACTGTTCTCAGAGGATTTCCAGGCAAAACCATCACTGACTGCAAAGCAGTACATTCAGGCAGCTGAGCCAAGTCCTTGGAAGTCCATCTATTCAGGAGTGCCAAGCCCTAAACAAGAGGCAAATGCGAGACCCCCAGAGGTCCAAACTCCTGCCAGTCTCCAACAGGAGAGATTCCCTCAGCTCCAAGATTCCCTAGGGAAAGTGAGGTAGGCTTAAGTGTCATTGCAGAATCTACCTAAATCCAATGGCACAGGGACAGCTCCTGATGACCCAGAGTTAACACTGATTTTTAGCCTGCCTTGCTCACAGGTGCTTTACCTGGTCACTGACAGACTCTGGTAGGAAGTGACAGACTTTCTCCAGCAAAGCCTCTATCTCAGCTGTCGTGGCATTCTTCTCCAGTTCTTTGTCTGCATAAGCCACCACCATCTTGCAGACATCACAGAAGCCACCCGCGGGTTTCACTAAAACTGAAGAGAAAAAAATAAAATTGACACTCGTGGAGTCCCCCCGAGATGAAAGAAAGGAGGCAAGATCAAGCTAAACAGGTGTGAGTCCTTAAAAGGAGATACAATCAGAGGTAAGCTAGCTCATTTTGCAACATGCTGATTTCCTCATTACCAACCTGGCTGAGGAGGCTTGTTGCTTGCACAGCACTTCAGCATAACGCACACAGTCTCAGGATTAGTTGCTTCCAGAAGCATGTCAATCACCGCCTGGCCATAGACATCTATGAAGTCTTTGCACTGGTCCTTGACACTCATGGGGAACAGGTAGCAGATCACCTCCATCTCGTGTACAATCTCCTCCTGAAGCATAACAGGGCAAATGAAGCAGCAGAAACCCCAGGCTTACGTACATTTGCTTAGTTATTTGTTGTGCCCAAGGACAGCACGCGTTTCATTTGCGCGAAAACAAGCAATAAATGAACCCGCTTCCACCCCTACAACAGCACCATTCTAGGGAAAGCTTTGAAAGAGTCCCTGTTCTCAGCTTTACCTCTGTCTTGTTGCTCTCCAGCAGGCCAGTCACTTCCTTCACCACAGTCTCACATATTTCACACACAGAAAATGTCTTCTCTTGAACTGCTGTTTTCTGCAGTGTCACAGAAGAAAGATAATATTTATAAAACTGTAGGTCAACCCTTCACCACATTTGGCACAGATGACTAAGGCTCTAATGGCATTTAACTTCAAATGAAGCATGACATCTCGCTTATCTAGTAAATCTGAGCTGAATTCAAAAGATCATAAAAGCCAAAAGCCTCAAAGGTCTCAGTAACAATGCACCTTGGTGAACAAGCAGGATTTTGTACCCTTAAGATACCTTGGTCATTTAAGAAAGGGGACTGAATCCCATAGACATGAAAAAGTAACGATACCTTCGCTTTAGGCACGGTTGGTAAGTGGGAAGTGCTTTGTTTTTTGCATGTTTGTTTTTCTTTTTAGTTGAGAGCAATTTAGAGTCAAGAGCTCCCTTTTGCCTGCACAAGAAGCCGAGAGAGAGGAACTTGGAGATTCCATTCGGAGTCAGTTAATCAGAAGTTAAAGCTGTCCTCAAAAAGGGGGCTTTGAAAAAACTTGGCACACTTCAAGCCAAAGGCTGTGGGAAAAACTAAGGTGTTTTGTCCAAATCCTGCTCCAGAGTTCAGACTAACTGCACTCATCTGTATGAGCATTGCTGTCTCATTTTAAAGGGTTGAAGGATAACTTTAAAAATATCAGGCAAAACCCATGTTCAGAAAGGGTTTTTCCACCAATTTAGAGTTTATTGCACTGAAGTATAGCAACCCAAGAGTTTTATTTCAAAGGTAACTTGAAGCAATACCTTATAGCTCTGCTATTCTAACAAATCAGTCAGCTTTTCCACCTCACAGAAGAGCCACAGGAACAGGAAGACACCAAGCTTTTATGTGGTTGGATTACAGAGAGTCTCAAGTCTATTTTTCTGCTTCATCTACTTTATTACAGCAAAGCAGTGAGGATCACAGAGCTGTGAGAACAGTACTAAGGCAGCTACCTTACCTCCACAGTTTCCATTTTTACTTCATGAACCACTTGAGCTGGCACTAGCTTCTGAAGAGGAACAGATTTCAGGGAAGGACAGAACCCAACCATGGCACAAATGTCCTTCGGTTGCTGGAAAGAAATGCATCATCAGTTAAAAGTGTCTAGGTGACTCCTTGCCCTTTTTTATGGAGCCTACAGGAGGGCAAAGAATAGAGACCATCGCTTTAAGAGGCTCCATCATAACCTATGTTTCAAGACTACTTCTATTTGAGGTACTGAGGAAGCATTTGATATGGTTACAGGTAGGACAGCCACCAGGTGCAGCTTCCAGTTGCATTAAGCAGCTTTAGGAAGAGGTTAGGTTCCATAAAAACCCCCTTACCATGAGCTAGCACAGTATGGGAGTCCCTCACAAAGGAGTTGACTTAAAAACTACCAGCACCAGAGAGGCCACCACTATCACATCTGACCCCATCCATGAGGCTACTCCCCCCAGGCCTCAAGTCACCCTATAGAAGATGCTAGTTATCCTGACTTCAGAGGTCACCCAAGGGGGAAAAAAAGCCTGGAAGAGACTTCCCATCCAAAAACTACCTTCTTTGAAGTATGTAATAAGGTTCCTTTAAACAATCAGCAACACATTCCTGCATAATTACTCATCACAGTCTATAAGAAATGTTAACCACGTTAAAACCCAGCCCTGCAGGAATTCCCTCCCTGCAAGGCTCTACAGAAGCAGCATTGAGTGTTCTTATAGGTAAGAAACAGCAAAATGAAGTCTCTCAGGGGGGCTTTGAGTTCTTCTCAAGGGTTTTTGAAAAGAACATTATCAAGTACAGAAAGTACTGAATATACAAGGCAAGCTATACTACAAGAGGCCACATTATGCCTGCATATACAGTGAGAAAAGCTCTACAGAGAAATGCATAAAACTTGGGAGTTTCTCCCAAACTCGGTGATATTTCAGTTCTACAGACAGAAGGTCACACCTCACTGTCACCAAGGCACCAAGCAGAGGTTGGTGTTTATGCATCATGCCATAACCTCATGCGCAGGCAAAAGCAGGATCTCAAACACAGCAACTGCTTCACACTACTCCAGGCAGTACCTTTAAGTCAAGCCCTTTGCTTCATGCATTACCAAAAGCATTTCCAGATATTAATGCTACAGCAACACCACATACACACGTCCCCACAGAGAGATGACAGACACAAGGTCCCCCAGAACTGTGCTCATCAAAAACCTGAATAGCTCTAGGAAGCAGGAGTCTAAAGGCCTCCTACATCCTTTTTTTAAAAAAAAATTCATGTACTCTGAACACCTGTATCAACCTAGCTTTAAAGTCACCCAAGAGAAGAGCCAGGAAGAACTTCACTAAAGTCCTTTTGACCCCAAACTTCAAGCCAGAAGGTGAGAGGAACCACTGGCTACATTTTCCACTTTTCTTGCACAAAAATAATTATATTTCAGCTCCACTGGCCAAGCCATAATCAAGGTTAAGTCTTAGCATCACAAGTTGGTGCCTGGAGTTTGAAACAGCACCGATTCACTAAAGGAAGTCTCTTAAAAAAAATTTTAATCCCTTAAGTATCCCTTGTATCTGTCAAAACTGAGTACAATCACACCATGTACACAACTAACAGCGAGTAAACTACAAGCCCTTGAACAGAAAAGCAAGGTGTCACCACAGGGAATTGCTCACCTACCTGATCCTTCTGTTGACAGAGGAGATTGGAGACAGAAAGATAGGAGAAATTAGAAATAAGTTAAGAAAAAAGCATTTGAAGTACA